GTTCGTGCGCCCACTCCGGCGGGGCTTTGAGGCCGGGCCCGAAGGGGGACGGGGGACCTAGAGGAGGGGGATCCGCCTCGGAGAAGCTGCAAAACGCCCCAGGAATGTTTGCCTGTCAAATTAACGTGGAGATGAAGCCATCTTGTCCCTATTGAGAATGACTTGCTTTGTGTCACCTTTTCCTCTAGGGATGCTCAGACCAGACAACTGCAAAATGCCGTCACCAACGTGGAGAAGCATTTTGGAGAGCTGTGCCAAATATTTGCTGCTTACGTGCGCAAAACTGCCAGACTGCGAGACAAAGCAGACCTCCTGGTGAATGAAGTGAACGTGTACGCCGCCACAGAGACCCCGAATTTAAAGCAGGGCCTGAAAAACTTTGCTGACGAGTTTGCCAAACTTCAGGATTATCGACAAGCAGAGGTATGGAGCGCGGTCATTGTCAGGAATGAGCCCTGAAGTAGGTGGATGAAGGAACCAGGAACACTCCCTTGATGACAAACCTACCTTGTCCTGTCTGTGACACTGTGTGAGTCTATTAAAGGGAAGCTTCCTGTTATTTTACCATTCTCAAACTCAACTTTAGGGTGTCTTGAAATCTAGACTTTCCCCATTTCATTTTCCAACTTTGGGCCAAGGAGGAGGGTCTTAAACATAGTGTCCCTGGGGAAGAAGAGGAGCAGGACTTGTGTCTTGTGGTCAAGTAAGTGTAAAGTATGTCTGGAGATGGACGATGTGGGGATGGTCATGTGAGTAAGTAAATGGACCAGAGATCTCCGCTCTTTCTTTGCTCAGGGAAGTTGACCAATGTTCCACTGCGGGGGAGGGAGGGGCACTGATTTATATCCTGAATGCAAACCAGTAGTGAGACTTTGTGGTATGAAATTGTTTTCCTCCCAAAAGTCCATTTTTCCCTTTAATACCTCATAAGCACTTTCACTTATATTTATTTAGGTTTCAAGACACAGGTTAACTTGTCAGAAGTTGTCAAATTAGAGCTGCATTGCTTCTTTGGCCCTTTTCTCCTTAGTGCTTTTGGTCTTTTTTTCTAAAGCCTAAAACAGAAATTTCAATTATAAAACAAAAAAACAAAATGAGTATAATGATTTTTGAACCTATAATTGCTATTCATACAGAAATTTGAGTAGTTACGTTTGGGTGTACTTTTTTGGAGAGCTGTTGAGTTTTGTCATATACTTCTGTAATAAACAAGCAACTCTCACAGTTACACATAACTAACTGGTGACTTACTATTTCAGAAATAATTTATACTGACAGATAACCCTAAAATCCCTTGTTAACCAGTCATTTCCATGTCCTTTTCTAGAAACCCTTTATGCTATTTGTCAAATAGCAAAGTGAATTGATTCACATTTGTTCTCCTTTTTATTTCCCTTGCTTACCAAATGGTGGAGGTGCTAATGAACAAAAGGTAGGCAACAAAAAGGAGAACAGAAAAAAGCCTTGGCTAACCCTTCCACTGAGTAATCAGTGTATGGATTATTCAAAATGGTATAGACCAGTGGTCGGCAAACTCATTAGTCAACAGAGCCAAATATCAACAGTACAATGATTGAAATTTCTTTTGAGAGCCAAATTTTTTAAACTTAAACTATATAGGTAGGTACATTGTTATTAACTTAATTAGGGTACTCCTAAGGCTTAGGAAGAGCCACACTCAAGGGGCCAAAGAGCCACATGTGGCTCGCGAGCCGCAGTTTGCCAACCACTGGTATAGAAACTATCCTGAATATTCATGGTTTTGACTTTAGGATTCCTAACACTGAAGTGCTCAATGAGAACTTGATTTCCTTTGTTTTTCCTAAAATCTTTTAAAATGAAACATTCAGATACATTTTATTTATAAAAGCTGAAGAAAAATCAATATGAAATGTACTCACTGATTATCTATCTAAACATGTATTATCAATAAAAGCCCTTTTCCTGCTACAAAAGTAATACTTGTTCTTAAACAGTTAAATACGTGTCAGCTGGTATTACCTATCCTGGAAAAGAAAATTTTAATGTCCAGAAGTTATTTTTCTTATGCTATATACTTGCTTTTAAAAAAAATCCATTTCTTTAAAAATCTGTTAGTAAAAGAATTGCCCAATATGTGATAAAAACTATAATGTTTCATAAGTGTTTACTTCTAAATAAAAGAGATCAACCGTACAGGTGACAGCTCAGGAACACCTGAGACCATTTATCTTATTCCCTACGCTTTAATGATTGATAAATGGCTTCCCAGAAAAAATTGCAGCTAATACAGTGGTCTCTAAGCTTTCTTGATTTTGAGGTTTGTGTTGCTTTAAAAGTTTCCAATATGCTGTATCTTTCAGCTTTGCTTTGCTTTTCTTATCTGGAAGATTGGGCTATTACATTTTGGAGAATATATACTTAAAGTACCCAACACTGTGCTTAAACACACTCAAACTGGTAACTGTATTAAATTTGAGATGTCTTGCCGCTGGTGTGGCTCAGTAGTTGAGCCTTGACCTATGAACCAGGAGGTCACAGTTCAATTCCGAGTCAGGGCACATGCTCAGTGCCCAGTCCGGGGGCAGGTAGGAGGTAGCAATCAATGATTCTCTCTCATCATTGATTGATGTTTCTATCTTTCTCTGCCTCTCCCTTCCTCTCTGAAATCAATAAAAATATATATTTTTTAAAAATTTAGATGCCTTAAAACTTACCCAAAAGCTACTTACTGTAAGGTACGAAAGCAATACAGAGATGGTATGGCAAGGATGAGCTCCTTGGAAACCTGAGGGATTTTCTTGTCATATCGTGCACCAGGTGATTTTCGGCTTTAATTGTTACTGTACAGCTTACCAGTTTTTTAATGTGTTTAAGTTTAGATTCTGAATCTTATCAGTTCTGGTGATTACTGAAAATAAGTTAAACTGTGACATTTTAATTTGAAAAATTTTTAAATTAGTCTGTATAGTAATTATTTTTAGGATAAACAGCACAGCTTTTATTTCAGAATTGAAATTTTGATCTATGTTTCTTTTCAGTTATGTTTTATAATTTTAATAGGTTGAGAGACTTGAAGCCAAAGTAGTTGAACCATTGAAAGCTTATGGAACCATTGTAAAATTGAAACGAGTAAGTAAATTCATTCTTTTTCTACTATTATTAGGTATCCTAGCAAAAAGTATGATTCCCAATAATTGTTCTTTTAATAAAAAGTACAAAGTAGTGTTTAACCATTTTTTATACACTCTGAAGAGCTATTTCTTAGAACTTTGAGAATAAAAAGATGTTTTTAGTGAGCTTACTAAATATACCACTGTAGCAACATAAAGAAATATTTTGTTTATTGTGGATACTTTTAATATTTATAGTCGTGAAGACTATATGAGCAGAAATTATTTTACTAAATACATGAGTTTATACTTTTGTTTTAGAGCAGGTAATAAAATGTAGACTAAAAATGGGTATAGCAAAATTCTATTTTTTAATTGAGGTATAGTTGACATAACATTAGTTTCACATACACAATGTAATGATTTGATAATTGTATATATTGTGAAATAATCACCACAATAAGTGTAGCTAACATGTCTCACCATAATTACAATTTTGTGTGTGTGTGAATAGGGTTTTAAGGTCTACTCTCAGCAATTTTCAAATATTCAATACAGTGCTATTAGCTATAGTCACCATGCTGTACATTACATCCTCAAAGTTCTATTTTGTAAATAAACTTTATTGAGGTATAATTTACATGTAATAAAATTCTCCCGTTTTAAGTCTAAATTGAATTTTCACAAATGTGTATATATAACTACTATCAAAATTATATATATATGTAAATATATACGTGTATATATATGTATCTGTATCTGTGTTTACATGGTTATAATTTTGCATTGAAATTATCTGGTCATTGTAATTTTGAGAGGATATTAAAGAAATACATATGTGTGCATTGTCACATACAGAGGTACACACTAATTCTGCAACAGTAATTCCTGTGGTAATGATGCCTGGATCAAACAAGACCATTCTCCCATTCTTAAATCAGAGTGTGTGTATTTTATTTCTAAAATCACAGGTTATTATTAACAAAAAAAATGCCTATTTGCAGGATGACCTCAAAGCAACATTAACAGCAAGGAATCGAGAAGCCAAACAGTTAACTCAGTTAGAAAGAACACGCCAGCGAAACCCATCTGACCGACATGTTATTGTATCCTTTGAATTTTGATCTTTAAAAAAACATTTTGTAAGGTATGCAGTACAGAAGTAAATGTATATGGAAATTATGCATTTCTACTTTTAAATGTGCAGAGAATCTAAAAAATAAAAGCATAATATGCAAACCGAACAAATGGCCAAACAGCGGAACAACCATCCGGACGAAGCCGCAGCTGCGGGGGCCAAGGCTGCGAAAGCCTACTCTTGCACGAATTTCATGCACCAGGCCTCTAGTTTGAATACAATGGTCGAAAAGAAATACGCATTCATGAATTTCCACAATAAAAATTAGATTATTTTAAAGAGAATACACTACCTAATTCAGTCCCCTTATATTGTTTTTCA